CCTCACATGGTATGGTCCATTATCTAATGTACAGTATTTATTATTCCTGGAAACGTGTCGTATTTGCAAATGGCAATCAGAAATCATTAATCAATCAATGTTTCATTAATCAATATCACGGTTATAACTTATAACATCCGCTAAGAATATCTTCTCGCACTGTATAATTCTAAAACACTTTCTAAACCATTATATTATACTACTTCTATCCAAAAAAAAAAAAATAGTTCGTATTGAGTTTTGAGTATTTTTTAATTTTATTAAAAATTTGAAAATTCATGTAAATTATTTTTTGGGACGGAGGAAAAATAAAAAAAACTTTTGTGATGTTAATTATGAAGCGCTGATGTGGGGAAGATCGTCAACCCAATCAGATCGCTGGAATTACTTACTCAAAGATACATTTAGTTTAGCTTATCAAAGGAAAAAAATCATAACCATCAAGATGTAAAACCTATATTCCTAACCTTCAATGAATTAAACTTTACGGTGTTTAGTAAATCTATACATTTGTGATTTCATTCAAACAACTGGCTGACGGCTCAAATTTAAATTTATCAAAGAATTTCCCTTCAAAAAATATTTCTTTTTGTAATGTATCCACAAAAAATTACAGTGACGTATTTAGTTCATCATTTGATGGGTTTAATTGCACGTTATAAATCAAATAAAATTCTAAGCATAGAATGGTAGAATCTAAATATATAATTTACATTTAGTTCACATTGAGATTTTTCAGTATAATAAAAATCTCAATATTCGATGTTGATTTTTTTTAAGAACAGATTAAGTAATTTATTTTCACACATATACATTATTTATTTTAACCAAACATCTATTAGTACTTGCGATATACTCCCTCCGGTCCTTAATAGAAGACATTTTGATTTATTATAGGTTTTACTTTGTACACATTTTTAATTGACTAAAAAGCCTTTAAAATATTTTCTAACAATCAAGAGAACAGAACAAATATGAAAATATATTTTTAAGATTTTTTGGTCAATTAAAATTAAAAACTAGGTGAAACCTTAGAAAAATCAAAATGCTGGTCCGAGAGAGTACTAATTAAACTATTACAATGGGCAAGGACGACTCAACATTTCAAGGGGCCTAAAGCGAATTTTCTTGTTGGGGCCTTTTGAAAATAAAGAACTAAAAAAACTAGACCTTCGTTTAGTTATGATTAAGAGAAAAGTTGCTATATAGCAAGAATTATAATAAGGGGATTTTTTTTAAAAAAAAGATTAAGTTTATCTTTTAAACTTTTTTCTCTTTCAAAATTTTCTATACAAAGTTAATTTTTTATTTTTTGGGCAAATCCTTTGATGAAACTTCCTAATCTAATTGATAACTTTCATACTTTCTAGAAAAGAGTCATTTTATTGATTCCGTGGTTTGAAAAATTAAGAGTTCCTTGTTGGATGAAGATTGATATTTGCATTTGCACATATTTAAATATGTGGAGTTGGAAATAGAAATGAAAATTTTATTTTTCTTTCGAAAGCAAGTATTATTTTCTTTTGATTTTTTTCTATTTATACATGTATATAATATAATTTTTTGAAGGGTATACATATAATATTGTTAACTATTATTAATAATTTAGGAGGCCCTTCTCAACTTGGGGCCTAAAACAATTGCCTCACTTGCTTTATGGAAGAGCCACCACTGACAATGGGGATGGGGTTCAGCTAGAGTCAAATTTCCTATTTGGTGTGCTTGATTTTTCATGGGCATCATATACAAGTCACTCGCCTGTTTTATCAGGCTCCAGGCGCGAGTCACTTATAATTTCTCCTTCAACTATATTGTACTTTCTGTGTTTATTGTGAGATGTCTCAATGATTAGGCATTCCTACATATATTAGTTTTTTTTTTTTTGGCGAACTAAACGTGAACAACTTTCCAATGATTGGATTTCACTTCAAGTTTGTGGTTCTTCCCAAGTCCACGCTTGTCAATATGAAATCCACACCTAATAAACAATTTCTTCAATGTTCTTGTTTTTATATGTATTAAGAAATTAAATAAAATCACAAATTAATTAGTTTAGGTCCCATAGATGAGCAGATTCACATCTTTTCGAAGTAATTTTTCTAGGACCAAAGTGGGGCTAAATCAATACCTCCAAACGTACAACCCCTTCGCCCGCTTCATCATTGCTTCTCACGGGCTTTAATATAACTACTTTATTGAGGATCTAGGCATAATTTAATGGCTGTTAAATTTTTTTAAATTTAATCTTTCTTTTTTCTATAAATAAAATTAAGGAAAATTACTAAATATCTCAAAGAAATTGTTCATAATATATATTCTTACCTTCTTCGAATGAAACGTGATAAAGAGTACGTATATTTCATGAATTGGATTATTTGAGTCTATGAAAAAGAAGCTTTGAACATTGGGCGCGTATTGGGTGCGGATGAGGTGCTTCCCCTTAAATTTGGTGTTTTCGAGATGACCAATCTTGAAAATTGTACTCCCCGTCCCATAATTATTGTCCAGTTTGAGTTTTCATTTCTAGTTCAAATTATACTAAAGGTGAAATCTCAAATTGGACAATAATTTTGAGGCTGAGGGAGTACTATAACTTCTTAGCAGGGTGCTATCAACATTGGTAAACCTCCAAAACAAATTTTCACTCTCGTCAATGAGAAAACTAAATCACATAAAAAGTAAATGATGTGTTTGTTTGGACAAGCACTCATTTTACCTCTTAACTCATTTTACCTCTTAAACACAAAATCTAATAGAAACGAAAACATCATTCAAACAACTTTCTGATTTACATTTTAAATTCCAACTTGAAACACTTTTTGTTAGTTTAATGACCATTTTAGAACTACAAATAGTTCATGATAAATTTGGTAGGATTCCGTTGTTGAGTGATTGTTTTTGAAAACGTTCTTTTCTGCAGTAACTATAATTGACAGTATTTAATTGTTTAGTGATGACTCGTACTTGATATTTTCAAAATGTAGTTCAAAATATTTTTTTCAAAACCAACATCCAAACAACTTTTTACTCAAAATACCATCCAAACAACATTTTCATTTCTCATTTAGTTTTCAACTTCAAACACTTTCCACTTTTAAGTGGCAAAATGAAATGTAAGATGACGTCCAAACACGCAATATTTTTCTCAAATTTCCTACTGAATACTTCATCAAGATTGGTGTTCGTCACTTGTACTCGAAAGTGTTGAGGCTCATGTGGCAAGAATTGTGAATCCCACATCGGAGGTATGATGATATGTGAATCAGTTAATAAGTAAGGTGGACTCAAAACCTATTAGCTTGAGTTTTTGAGTTTAGATAGGTCTTATCTTACTTATTGGGCTCCATGTCGGGTTTTCTCCTATGGATAAATCCCCAACAGTGGTATCAGAGCCCAAGTTGGGCCAATTAGGTGGGTGATTTAGCCCAAATTATTTCGATTGATCTGACTGAATCCAGGCAGTCAAAAGCCCACTACGTGCGGAAACGTAGGGATGGACAACCCAGTTACTCAGGTGGAATACAGATTTGGGCTTGTTAAGCTAATTTAGAAGCCCGATGTGGAGATTGCCTATGACGAGGGAGAATGTTAAGGGTCATGTGGCAAGAATTGTGAATCCCACATCGGAGGCATGATGACATGTAAATCAGTTAATAAGTAAGGTGGACTTAGAACCCATTAGGTTGAGCTTTTGAGTTCAGATGAGTATTAACTTACTTATTGGGTTATATGTCAGGTTTTCTCCTCTGGATAAATCTCCAACAGAAAGATAACATAGGTATTCTTAGGCATGTCATTGTGAACTAGGATAAGATGTTTACCCTCTTTTCTGACCAATTCACTGCGAATAAAACTTGTCTTATGACGATCATTTTGTTTTGTCTCTATCTAAATTTGGTACAATCTCTTTTGTTGTTTTTCTATGTAAATTTGCGTTATCGGTATTGGGTACATGAAATTGGTCTTATCATCACGAGATAGGTTTTCGTTGCTCCGTGAATGTTGTACCATCATTTTGCTTCTTAGCCCTCTATGCATTATCGGTATTGGGTACATGAAATTGGTCTTATCATCACGAGGTAGGTTTTCGTTGCTCCGTGAATGTTGTACCATCATTTTGCTTCTTAGCCCTCTATTTTCTACAGTTCTAATATCTTAAATTAGAAGTCGTCAACCACGATTTGGGACAGATTTTAAAACTCCAACACCCTTTGTTTTCTGTATTTAATACCGTTCTTACAACCTTTTCCAATGATCTTTCATTTAATTTTTATTCACTATGATCAACTTATTCGTACGTTTGTTTTAAGTCCAACTATGTCACGAAAAAGAAATTCATTTACAGTTGTTGGGTCCGTGTAGCACGCTCTTAATTTCCAACTAGTTTCAATTAATTGCCGACGAATTGTGGTGAGATCGCAACGTTAAAAGTTTTAAATAATGCACAGATGAAAAAGATTGTTTGAAAGTGACGAGAGAGGGGCTCAAACTCATAAATCCAAAATTATATAATTTATAGTCATGAATCTAAAATGATTTTCACGTTTATCATTTTATGATTACCTTCTCTTCTTTGTAATGTTGTTCCAACTGCTATTATTGTTTTTCAATTTTACTTTTACGGGGCATACAACTCTAATTACATCAGGGTGATGTTATATTTACCCCGTATGCGGAGATGTCACTTATCGAGAAGGTTTGTCATCAATTTGTAGATCCTACACCATTATTTGATACCAGAATTGTTACATAATCTTCCATTAAATCGATCTCCGTATAGATGTGAGATGTCTGCTGTTGCTTATTTCGTAGGGATTGAGTAAGCAGAAAAACAATTTATTCTCTCCGTTTCAAAATTATTGTCCGATTTAAATTTTAATAATTTTTAGTTCAAATTGTATTGAAAATAAAATTTTAAGTTAGACCATAATTTTGGGATAGAGAGAGTATTGAAATTAAATGAAGATGGTTAGGCAACAAAAGGTCTAACCGGTCCTAATTAAGAACCGTGGTACAAATACAGCAGCAAGCAGAAAATGACATGCAAAAATATTGTCCATATTTTTCCTTATAAAACGTCTTGTACCTAAGATAAGAAATCATCAGTTCTGTCCAACAGCTAATCATGGATATTCAGTCATATCTTCAGTCTCTTCCAACTCCTTCCATTCTGATCATCTCCTTTGTTTTATGCTCATGGTTTTACTATCAATATTCTTGGTACGACAGAAATGCGAAAAAGAACAGCTCAATACCCACAAATTGGCCTCTACTTGGGATGCTACCAGCAATTATTCAGAATGCTCACCGAATTCATGATTATGGGACTCAAGTCCTTATTGAAAGTGGGGGAACTTTTGAGTTCAAAGGGCCCTGGTTTACCAATGTTGACTTTTTTGTGACTTGTGATCCTGCTAACATCCATTACATCTTCAGCAAAAACTTCCCAAACTATCCAAAGGGTCCTGAATTCCGGAAAATGTTCGATGTCTTGGGGGATGGCATCTTCAATGCAGATTATGAGCTGTGGGAAATCCACAGGAAAGTTACTTTATCAATATTTCATCAGCCTGATTACCAGAAACTCCTTCAGGAGACTGTGCTGGAGAAAGTGGTGAACGGGCTACTTCCGGTCCTGGAGAGTTTCTCGAGCCAGGGCGCCGAGTTTGATTTGCAGGACATACTTCAGAGATTTACTTTCGATTGCTTCTCCCGACTGCTTCTTGACTATGACCCAGAAAGCTTGTCCTTGGAGTTACCACACATTCGAGCCCAATATGCATTTCTCGACGCCGAGAAAGCCATTTTCAGAGGCACATCTTGCCTGAGAGCTGCTGGAAGCTCCAAAATGGCTTGATTTTGGGAAAGAAAAGAAGCTAAGGGAAGCTTGGGACGACCTTGATCAGTTCATTTACCCTTGCCTTGAAAAGAAATTGACACTTCTTACTAGTTCCACTTCAACTTCAAAGCAATTCGAAAACGGCTTAAATGCTTTCATTCAGGCTTACAAATCAACTTGTTCAAGTTCGAGTTCAAAAAATATCAATCGTCCAGAAGTCACAAAGCTGTTCCTCAGGGACGCTTTTTTGAGCTTAATGGTCGCGGGAAGAGATACAGTTAGTACGGCCCTCGCTTGGTTTTTCTTCCTCCTATCGAAAAATCCTTCTGTGGAAGACAATATTCTCAAGGAAGTCAAAGCCAAATTGTGTCTTCAAAATGACCCGAATCATCAACCAATATGCAACTTATTCGAGTCCCAAAAACTTGTCTACCTCCACGGCGCATTGTGCGAAGCTCTTCGGCTTTTTCCACCAGTTGCGCTTGAACACAAGGAGCCTATAAATGATGATGTTCTTCCCAGTGGTCATTTTGTTAATGCCAACACGAAATTGATCTTGTTCTTCTACTCCACGGGAAGATTGGAGTCCATATGGGGAAAAGATTGCTTAGAGTTTAAGCCGGAGAGATGGGTAACGAAGCAGGGAGGGATTCGACACGAACCATCGTTCAAATTTCCGGCGTTTAATGCCGGACCAAGGACTTGTTTGGGGAAGGAGATTGCTTTCGTGATGATGAAGGTTTCTGCAGCTTCTATCATCCATAATTTCAAAGTCCATCTTGTGGAAGATCATCCTGTCAGCCCTAGCGACTCAGTAATCATACAAATGGAACATGGTTTAAAGGTCAAGCTTGAAAAAAGAAACAAAAAAATGTAGATTAATATACTTTTAGACATGATGAGGATCATAATCAAGTCCTTCATGCATGGGTGCTTGCTTATTTAGCTCAAATGGTGAAGAAGTTTTAATGTCATGATGCAAAATAATGTAACTATCAGAAATTTTGTATTATCTCTGTCAAAAAAATAGTTTACGTTAAGTTTTAAAACTTATATTAAAAATATTACAAAACTCAAAATTTAATGTGGACTATTTTATTTCATTTTTTTAGAGAGGGAGTAATATATAAAAATGACTTCATATGAAATGAAATCACGAAAAAAGTTGAAGATATAATTATTGTTTAATTTCTTTTATAAACGGCTCGTAGACAGACCCACCCAAAACGTCTCTTTTATGGTTAGATTTTTAGTACACATGTACATTTGTAAATAATTAATTAGGTCACATGTATAACCGAGAAGATTGTGATGCATCTTTACAAAGTCTCGCTTTCTAGCTCAAGTCTTTTGTCAAAAGGTACTACTACAGCAACTTTGGATAGGGATGGGGAACTAGGGAAGAAAAAATTGCCTCGAAACAAAATGTAACCATCTATGCACGTAAATAGTTTTTACAATTAGTTGTTAGAGTCTGGCAATTATTGCCAATTGAAAAGCCATATTCTGAAGAAATGGAAAAATTATTTCATTTCTGAGTACTTGCAGTCTCTTTTCATAAGCGTCCTAATGATTAAGCGTCATCGCTTTTCTTCGATTGAGCTCGCGAGTTGATTCTTATTAGTCAAGGGTCATAAAACAAGAGATTTGATGAGTATAATTAACCCTTAAGTTGGTTGGTCACTGTATTTTCCGCTTACTAGTTGGTTGCTCTAAAAGAAATATTAAATAAAATAATTGAAAAGATAGAGATCCAAGAAATGTCCTAAATTCAAAAAAAAAAAAAAAAAGGATGTCCTAACTTCAAAACTTACAAAAATCCTTGTTTACCAAAGAAAATTTTAGACTGGTATATTCAAAGAAAATGTTACAGCATTGAGTTTCTTTTAAAATTAAAATTTCAAAATTTTAGTCTAGGATACTCATGGGCTCAGTCTGCTTACCTCCTGAGTTCACCTGGTCCAAACCCAAATGGAAAATTCAACAACTTAAACCATATTTCATCCATCTTGGGAAGCCCGCCTCAAACGTTAGAAAGAAAAGTTGGTTTGTAAGAAAGAAAACTCAAGCCAAATGAACGAAAAATCATTACATCATATAATTAATCCAATTGCTTCAAATTTCGGCCTATATTGAGCACATCATAATTTTTACCTTGTAGGATCCGATGTATCCGTTCAACTTGAGACAGAAGTTAAAGTAGAGAACAAAATTTTTCGGGGTTAGTAGCAAGTAGTAATATTCTCTCTCTTATCGTCAGACATTTAAGTGACTATACGGAAATAATTTAATTTGGATTGAGTTTATCACAAAATTAAGGAATTAATAGCAGCCAAAAATGAATCGAAACGCTTTCTTGTCAATTCCGTAGTTTCGTAAATTATCTGGTACACTCGGGGGTACTATGTCCTCCCATGCGCGTGTACCTTACTCTCTTACAATAGCGTTAGTCCGCTATTATAATTCAACTTCTTTTTTTTTTTAAACGCGGGGTTATATAAATAACCGAATTCATTCAAATTTGGAAAACTCTGTGATGGAGTATTATTGATGGGCGATGGCCGGCGGCGATCGAGGCGGCAATGGGAGTCGGCGATCGAGGCGTTGAGGTGGACACGGCCGGCGGCGATCGAGTCGTTGAGACGGCGACGGCGTTCAGCGATCGAGGAAAGGCTCCGATTCCACCAGAGTGGCGAAACGGTAATTGGATCGACGATATGCTGAGTTCAGATCAAGTGATGAGTTATGTCGTTGATGATTCCGGCTTGATGAATGTGGAATGTAGTGATAGCAAATCCATCAAACAATCTTACTGTGCCAGCAAATCAACGCAAGGTCACAGTTCTGTTGTAGATCAGCTGCAATCAGGTTTGTGTAGGTTTCAGAGTGTACTGTAATCAATTTAGTTTTTTCACAGTTCTGTTTTTGTTAATGTTGTATGAAGTGGATTAGCAGTTATGCTGTGTTGGATATCCAAAATGTTTGTACTGGATATCCAACATTTTTGAGTTGTTTATATTGAATTGGTGTTTTTTCACAGTTCGGAGTGTAGTATTTGTGAGAGAATAATCAATCTAGTTTTTTCACAGTTCTGTTTTTGTTAATGTTATATGAAGTGGATAAGCAGTTATGCTGTGTTAGATATCCAACATGTTTGTACTGGATATCCAGCTTATATGTACTGGTTATCTAACGGATTTACCTGCGTATCCAAATTTTATTTGCTAGATATCCAACTAATTTGTACTGGATATCCAACATTTTTGAGTTGTTTATATTGATTTGGTGTATCAAAGATTTTTTTAATTTTTTGTTTTTTTGTTTGTCTCCTTTTTTGTAAAAGATAACCATATCAATGAGTTGGGGGATGATGTGATGCTGGATGATGCTTTGCACATGAAAGTTACATCTGCTCTGAAGGGTAGGTTTTCTAACTTGTTTATATGTGTTTAAATTTTTTTTTGATTTGTTTATCCATTGTGTTAATACTGATGATCCGACTGCATAGTAATGGTTATCCAACCATCTCTTTTGTTTTTCTCAGAATGTGGAGAAGATAATAGCGGCAATGAATTGGGAGTTGATAATGTGATGGTGGAGGAAGATGCATTGCACAAGGAAATTTCATCTGTGACGAAGAATAATGATTTGGCTGTTTTTACTTTAGTTGGGAAGACTGCAATAAGTGAGAAAGAAGCTTATGATTTGTATAATGATCATGCCCGATTGATTGGTTTTAGTGTGAGAGTGGGAAAACAGAAGTTTAGAGGTAAGACTGATAAAGTTAGGATGAAGAAATTCTGTTGTAACCCGAAGGATACAAGAGATCCGATGGAAATGGTTATGTGTGCCATGAGAGGATTAATTTTCGGTGTGGGTGTCCAGCTTACAAAGATGGCTTGTGGACCTGTACAAAGCATCTGGTTGATCACAATCATGATCTTGTGCCGAATGAAATGATTGGAATTCTTCGATCTCAACATGAAGTAGATGAAAATGATATGAAGATAATCAGAGACATGACAAGGAGTGGCATCCCTTTGGTTGATGCATATAAGTTTGTGGCAAAATTACACGAGGGAAGTCCGAACATGAAGTATACTTTGAGAGATGCCTACAATTATGAGCGTCCTGGTGTTGGATTTGAAGGTGGCGATTGTAATCAGCTCGTGGAGATTTTTGGGACAGGAAGGAAACTGACGAAAATTTCTTCTTTAATTTTGACTGTGATGAGCAAGGTAGGATGTGTATTTTCTTCTGGAGGGATGACGAATGCGAAAGGATTATGATTTGTTTGGTGATACGGGGGGATTTATACAAGTAATTTGTGTCCCCTCTTAACGCAATAACACACTCTCCTTACACACACACGAAAAAAGGATTACCTTAGCTACATTGGCATGTTCGGCAGGGCGGCACAGCTGGGGCAAGTTGGTGACTGTGATTCCGGTAGTCGCGGAGTCGTTTAGTTTATCATGGGGGGCGAAGTCCCCTAATGAACATGCCGTTTGGATAGCCATTTTCTTATGGATATTTTCTTTTGTTATGTCTTTTTGGAAGCCCTCTCTGAATCCTTGTTTTGTTATGTCCACATGGTGGATAGGCATTGGTTACACATGGATAAGCAGAATTGAGGTTTGGGATAACAAGTATAAACTCATGGATAATCAGGTTAAAGACTGTACTTGCATTTTTTTGACTGGATAATCACTATAAAACATTCGGATAATCAGTGTAACAAGTTGGATAACTAGTACAAAGATCTGGATAACCATTACAAACGGTTGGATATTGTTGCACATTGACTGGATAACCAGTACAAAAGAAATATTGGATAAGCAGGATAATATCATAGGATAAGCAGTTTAATAAAGAAGTAGAAAGACCAAGAAATTGAGACACTCAGTTTTTGTTGTTTGGGAATTTACGAAATATTTGGACAACCAAAATACATTGTCTTGTTATTTCTTATGGATATTTTTTTGTTATGTCTTTTGGATAATCAGGTTAAAGAATGTACTTGCATTTTTTTTACTGGATAATCACCAGAAAACATTCGGATAATCAGGTGTAACAAGTTGGATAATTAGTACAAAGATCCTGGATAACCATTACAAACGGTTGGATAATATACTAGGATGGCTAGTACACAGCTGTTGGATATCAAACACTTTAGGATCAACAGTCAATCAATTATACAAGAGAACATAATGACAGTTCATTTAACACATCTCTTACTTTTTCTGTCATTGTAGTAAGATTTGCTGCTCAAATCAACATGATCTGGAATTTCTTTTTGTTCTTCTTTAGTAGTATTTGTATAGAACTGGTGCATTGCTTCGAGGATTTTGTCCTTATTTTTGTTGGCTGGGTGCATAAGGATTTTTATCATGTATTTCCATTGGTACTCTTTGATGTTTCCTGTGTTGAAATCCAAAGTAGTACCATCCTCGTACTCATGACCATCATACCGATACATGTGGTGCATTGTGTATATTCCACAATCTTCCGCATTCAGCGTTTTCTCCTTATGCGATGGTAGCGTAACCTCTGTGAAGGTGTACTGAGCACTGACCAGTTCTATGCGTGGAAACACGCATGCAACGTAGCTTTGGAAGAACCGAAACTGTGATGCCATAAAATCCAAGGATCAGCAAAATGCAATGGATAATTCTTAAACTATGACAGTCATTTTGTATCTTTTTTTCACTCACAAGTAGATCTTTCGTTGGCTTGTAGTAGTCCAGATCTTTTTCATGAATATTGTTGAGGACAAGCACTTTCTTTTCTTCAACCAGCAACATATACAAGAAGTAATGGTCTCGGTAGTGTACTAGGAAGTGGATCGGATATTTCACATTGAAGGGAGAAATCATATCAAAATTTTTTAACAGCCAGTTATAGAAAGAGTGAAGGAGGTGAAAGATGTTGCTTACAGCTTTTGCAGCTAACATGGATGCTACAGTGAGGCCTTGTTCTTCTAGTTCAAGACCCAACCTCTCATAGAATGTGAACTCGATTTCCTCTTTGTTACTGCCCTATTGATAGTATCGACTGATTGTATCCTGCATTATCATTTGAGATGGTTGGAAAATGATACAATGATCAGTACAATGGTGGCAAAATGCAGTAGAAAACAATGATCGGAATCAAGCACATACAAGGTCAACCAAAAGTACCCTAGATGACACACAAGAAGGAATGGTTAACCAGTTCAGATCTTGTGAATAAGTAGTACAGAACAGATGGATAACCAACAAATGAATCATGGACAAGCCACCACATAGAAGGCTTGGATAACCAGTTCAACTCTGATGGACAAGCATTAGTAACATATTGGATAATAAGTGTTAGTGGTCATGCATGATCTTCCTGATGATTACTTATAGGTAGGTAAGATATACAACAATGATGGATAACCAGCAAATAATGTGTGGACAAGCAGCTGCATAGAAGCACAACTAAAAAAAGGCATGGATAACTAGTTTATACATTGTAGATAACTAGCAATTATGGCTGGGTAACTAGTTTACAGATTGTGGATAACCACCCATTATGGCTGGATAACTAGTTTACACATTCTGGATATCCAGCAATTATGGCTAGTTAACTAGTTTACACATTCTGGATAACCACCCGTTATGGCTGGATAACTAGTAGAAAGCCTTTGGATAAACAACTTGCAGACATGTGACAAGTATTTTACCAGGGCGGGATAAACAATAAGGGTTTAAATGACTTACAAATGATGAAACACCAAAGAATATCCGTCTTGGGGAGTCACTCTTAGCTTCTTCTTTGTTTAGGATGACAGCCCAAGCATCTATGATGCTGTTTTCTATCCATGTCCCTTCCCTCATGGAATAGAAAGCTGTCATGTCTACCCAAACGATTTTTCCAAATTTAAACAAGAGTTTCCTGCATAGAAAAAGTAGTCAAATAGACAAATAGTTGAAAAAATGGTAAGTTTTTTATCCCACGGGTAAGGATGGTGACTTTTACCCTGATTTAACTATTTCTTCTTGTCTTTGTAGGAGAGCGAAGTCTATCAACAGGGCTTCTTCTTGGGTCATTTTCTTCTTTTCCTCTTCCACTGTATGAATTTTTTCTTGTTTTTCTTCTGCAACATGAACGGCGACCTGAACCGTTAGGGCAACCGGTGGACTCTTGTTGGATTTCTCCTCTTAGGTTTTTCATTGAGGATCCTAGGACAAAACAAAAGAGAGTTAGTATGTAAATTCGTCTTTCTATTTTGTAGTGGGGAGTCACAGTGGATCAAACTTACTTTTTCACTGTCTTTGTTAACTCTTCATCAAGCTCATCTACTTCCTTTGAGACTGCAGGCGGTGGCGTGGTACACTCATTTTTCTCCAGCATCAGTAGACCACCCGTGGTAGAAGCAATATCCTAATCGGGTGGAATTATGCTTAAAGGGACTGCTTCTACCACCTTTGAGTTCTTCTCAACTTGTTCTGCAGCAGCGGCAATCATCTCTAGTTTTTTGGTATCAGCTAATGATTTTGAAGCTGGTGCACTGGCCCTTCTTATGATTTCATCGATGGAAGGAGTGGGATTCTTTGTTTCATGGAGTGCAGATGGTACTGGATATTCTTCTGCTTCTATAGTCTCATTGACATCTTTATCCAAATCAACACTTCCTGTAATATCTTCCTCAGTGTTCTTCTCCTGGGTTGTCTCGTAACTGTCTTCCTCATTGGAGAAGATACCCAGGTTAAAGTGTCGGATAGTTGGGTCTTTGAATACTTTCCTTTTCTTGGTACCAGTGCTTCTCGACCTTTTGGTATAGGTGGATGTCACACCTGAATCCCTGCCGGTGGAATCCTGATGGGATCTCTTCTTTTCTGTTGTGGAGATATTTGTTCCATGTGCTGCAGTACAAAGTTGGAATGTTGAATAATCAGTATGAACATACATATATATTAGACACATTGGATAACCAGTTCAAACGAAGTGGATAATCAGTTCAAACAGGCCGGATAATCGGCAGGAACACAATGGATAACCATTTAAAGGGAAAAAAAAGGGTTGGATAAGCAGTACAAATTAGACACATTGGGTAACCAGTTCAAACGAAGTGGATAATCAGTTCAAACAGGTCGGATAATCGGTCGGAACACAATGGATAACCATTTAAAGGGAAAAAGGGGGTTGGATAAGCAGTACAAATTAGTTGGATGACAAGTATAATCACATCAGACAAGTATTTGTATCATTAAAAAAATATTCATTACCTTGTGGTTGAGTTTGTTGTTCATCAACCACCACTTCTTTTGAAGTAGGCACGAATTTCCCCACTGGAAGAGAAGCCTCATCATTTGTCTGTCTCAATTGCTCCAGTCCCTGTGCTTTGTCAATTCAATGTCTTGAAAATTTGTGGGATTAATTGGAGCTTGTACAGTGTTGTCATTAGTTTGTTGGTGTTGTTGTTGGTCAGCTACTTGTCGTTGCAGCTGTTCTATGATTGTTGCAAACCTGCTTTCAGCGGACTTTCATGCCATCTCGCACAATTCACAAATCTGTTCATCCTGGAGGTCTTGCTGCTGCTCTTGTTGATATTGCGTTCTACCTGAAGGCGGAGGCATCTTTCTACTCATCGACACCATTACATCTGTCAGGATCTTGATTGTTTGCTTTACTTGTTCATCTGATTCGATTTTTAACTCCATTTCCTTGTCACGTATGTCTAAAACAGTTTTGCTCATCGTGATAATCAATTGGTAGAATTTTCATAAAGAGCAGCAAGGTCCTGCAAAAGTGAATGTAGTTAGTGGAATGTGGAGATGTTAGGTTGGATACGTAAGTTTGATCTGAAAAAAAATGGTAGAACACGACATAGACTTGTTGTGTGTTAGGGTTGGCCTGTGTATCCTCCTGTGATTCCCCCTCTGGTTGTTCATCTCGGGATGCTGCTGAGGACGGTTTCTTGAGACGTTCAAGTGTCTGGACATCTGTGAAATTGCTTCCCTGAAGTCTTAATCTGTCGTCCAGCATCTTTTGATCCCAACATTTGATCACAGGGAATGACCTCGGATGTGCTCTCTCATACTCACACCTGTCAAGGTAGCACAACTAAAAAAAAAAAAAAGAAAAAAAGTTGGTATTAATGATATCAGTACAAGCAAATTGGATAAACATTGCAAGCAATATAGATAACTAGTAAAATTTGTACGGATATGGTAAGTACCAGGAAAAAAGTGATTGGTCTGGTGAATGGTTTCCCATCGTGGTGAGTTTTGCATCCTTTCACCAGTGCATCAATCACATATTGACACCAATTGTATTGTGCCACCTCATTGACGTTCACGAGGGACTTCAGGATGTTCATTGTGATTCTGGAAGTGGTGTTGCCATGTAGGAATGTGCTCACAACGAAGACCAAGAAATCTCGTTTGAAGTCATCACCAAAATCTTTTCGACCAGCAATTAATTGTGCCGCTGTGGATCTCGTTGGCAGGAATTTATTACTGTATCTCATTCTTTTCTTGAATGCATCCACCATCTCAGCGTGGTCCGTTATAGCGGGATCGTTCTGTTTGAATTCTTCCACTGGTTTGGGTCCACGAGGAAGATCAAGTACAACAACAACATCTTCCTGTTTGATATCCAGTACATTGTTCCCATTCAATGGGACTTGTCTCGCACCGGTCTGGAAATTGTTTGCCAGAAAACTACATAAGGCTGTTGGAATATTTTTAATTTTGATATCCAGCAAGGCGCCAAACCCCATATCTCTGATAGCCTGCCTTTGTAGTTGGCGATAATCTACCGCATCTGGCTCTTCCTTAAGATCTGTTGGTTTATTGATTTCAGTGATGAGTTGGAAGAGATGGTTTGGTGTCATCCTGGTCTCAAATTTCTTGACAGAATCTTCAGAACTGATTGGCTGTGGATCTTGACCAATCATCAGTTTGTTGTTCTCAAGTTTCGTTCTTTTCTTTTTGGGCTTTTTATCATCATTGTCATCAGCAACCACAAGTTGCTTTGGATTTCCTGTTGGTGTGCTCTTCTTGCTCTTTGGTTTCCTCAGCAAGTTGTAGGGCCTTGGACTTTCACCAGGGGGCTGTTCTTCTTGGGTTGATTTTTGATTTTTTAATATGGTCAGTATTCCTTCAGGGAGCTCCATTATTTTCTCTGGTTCAGGATCTGGTGATCTGTCTGGGTTCGAGTTGAGGTCGTGGCTTACGCTGATCCACTCGTGCCTATATTTTGTTCTATCCTCCTTTAGGGCACTGTTGGCATTGGACAATCACTAAGGAGTCAGTGGACAAAATAGCAGGATATGAAAAGGAGCAGTAATCAGAAAAGGAGTAATCAGTATGAAATGGGAGGATAACCAGCAAATAATGTATGGACATGTAGCCACATAAAAGCACATCTAAAAGAAACAATTGATAACCAGTTTAATCCCTGCGGATAACCAAGATAAAATGGGTGGATAACCAGAAACAAAGTTTGGACAAGCACCCCATAGCACACACGCAGGAAAACTTGGATAACCAGTTCAGATATATAGTGGATAACCAGTTCAGTTTGTCCATGCCACATAGAATCAAATGTAAAAAAAGCATGGATAACCAGTTTACAACTTGTGGATAACCAGTTTACAACTTGTGGATAATTAGTTTACAACTTGTAGATAACCAGTTTACAACTTGTGGATAACCAGTATGAAATGGGTGGATAACCAGCAAATAATGTATGGACATGTAGCCACATAAAAGGACATCTAAAAGAAACAATGGATAACCAGTTTACACCCTCCGGATAACCAGTATAAAATGGATGGATAACCAGAAACAAAATTTGGACAAGCACCCCATAGCACACACGCAGGAAAACTTGGATAACCAGTTCGGATATATAGTGGATAACCAGTAACAAAAAAACACAAAAACATGGATAACCAGTTCAGTTTGTCCATGCCACATAGAATCAAATGTAAAAAAAAGCATGGATAACTAGTTTACAACTTGTGGATAACCAGAATGAAATAGGTGGATAACCAATATGCTATGTGGATAACCAGTATGAAATAGGTGGATAACCAGCAATTATGGCATGGACAACCATCACATAGCATACGCAAGAAACCATGGATAACTAGTTCTGATCTAGTGGATAAACACAAAATATTGCTGGATTATAAAAAAAATAGGATCCCGGAGTAATATACTTACTAATGAAGCTTGTATAGATGAAGGAGAGCTTGAGATGGCCGGAGCTAGGGTTTCTCCCCATCGTCTCTGTGTGTATGTGTGTGTGTGTTTGTAAAAGAACAGACTGACAAAAGGAAAAAATGCAGGAGAAGATGAAGTTATCAAAATCGTATTCCAGTGTAGGTTTTCCGTCGAGTTTCTGTAATTTTGCGGTGGTGGTCAATTTTGTATTTTCCCTAAAATGGAAGTTTCCATCGACTGTGTGTTTGTGTGTGTTTGTACGTGAGGATGAAAATAATTTTGGTGTCATCCTGGTCTCAAATTTCTTGACAGAATCTTCAGAACTGATTGGCTGTGGATCTTGACCAATCATCAGTTTGTTGTTCTCAGGTTTCGTTCTTTTCTTTTTGGGCTTTTTATCACCATTGTCATCAGCAACCACAAGTTGCTTTGGATTTCCTCTCGGTGTGCTCTTCTTCCTCTTTGGTTTCCTCAGCAAGTTGTGGGGCCTTGGACTTTCACCAAGGGGCTGTTCTTCTTGGGTTAATTTTTGATTTTTAAATATGGTCAGTGTCCCTTCAAGGAGCTCCATTATTTTCTCTGGTTCAGGATCTGGTGATCTGTCTGGATTCCAGTTGAGGTCGTGGCTTACGCTGATCCACTCGTGCCTATACTTTGTTCTAGCCTCCTTTAGGGCACTGTTGGCATTGGACAATCACTAAGAAGTATGTGGACAAAATAGCAGGATATGAAAAGGAGCAGTAATCAGAAAAGGAGTAATCAGTATGAAATGGGTGGATAACCAGCAAATAATGTATGGACATGTAGCCACATAAAAGCACATCTAAAAAAAACAATGGATAACCAGTTTAATCCCTGCGGATAACCAAGATAAAATGGGCGGATAACCAGAAACAAAATTTGGACAAGCACCTCATAGCACACACGTAGTAAAACTTGGATAAACAGTTCAGATATATAGTGGATAACCAGTTCAGATATATAGTGGATAACCAGTTCAGTTTGTTCATGCCACATAGAATCAAATGTAAAAAAAGCATGGATAATAAGTTTATAACTTGTGGATAACCAGTATGAAATAGGTGGATAACCAGCAAATAATGTATGGACATGTAGCCACATAAAAGGACATCTAAAAAAAACAATGGATAACCAGTTTACACCCTGCGGATAACCAGTATAAAATGGATGAATAACCAGAAACAAAGCTTGGACAAGCACCCCATAGCACACACGCAGGAAAACTTGGATAACCAATTCAGATATATAGTGGATAACCAGTAACAAAAAAACACAGAAACATGGATAACCAGTTCAGTTTGTCCATGCCACATAAAATCAAATGTAAAAAAAGCACGGATAACCAGTTTACAACTTGTGGATAACCAGTTTACAACTTGTGGATAACCAGAATGAAATAGGTGGATAACCAATATGCTATGTGGATAACCAGTATGAAATAGGTGGATAACCAGCAATTATGGCATGGACAACCATCACATAGCATACGCAGGAAACTATGGATAACTAGTTCTGATCTAGTGGATAAACACAAAATATTGTTGGATAATAAAAAAAATAGGATTCCGGAGTAATATACTTACCAGTGAAGTATGTATCGATGAAGGAGAGCTTGAGATGGCCGGAGCTAGGGTTTCTCTCCGTCGTCTGTGTGTGTGTGTGTTTGTGAAAGAACAGACTGACTAAAGGAAAAAACGTAGGAAAAGATGAAGTTATCAAAATCGTCTTCCAGTGTAGGTTTTCCGTCGAGTTTCTGTAATTTTGCAGTGGTGGTCACTTTTACATTTGCCCTAAAATGGAGAGTTTCCGTCGACTGTGTGCTTGTGTGTGTTTGTGCGTGAGGATGAAATGGATGAAAACAATTTTGTGTGTGCACTTAATGTAAAGGTAAAAACAGTTGAGCGCGTGTTACGCGTGTATTTGGTGGGGGGATATACGGTACACCCGGGTGCACTGGATACAGACTCGTAGTTTCTACTTTGTTGGCTAATGCGCGTTCATGGATTGGATAATAATTTCGATTCACCGAAGATTTCTACAAAAAAGGGCTACCTAGCTTAAGATTAAAGAATGTCAATGTGGCTGCATTTGATTATTACATTGTTTAATTAGTGGATTGAAATTACTTGATCGGATATAAATTAATTTGACATTTTCTTTTGGTGGATAATGCCTAACAAAATTACGCGGGTCATGAATATATCGAAACATTCATGCACTTCAACCATAAATTACACAAATTTTATGTCTGAAGTAATCAACTGAACATAATAGTACAGAGTTTCGGCGAGGTTTTGATTACTTTTGGTTCAGATTGGCTCCTAACATTCCCGACGTCTCATCTTTAAATTTGCTACCCAAACTCCAACTATATATACCCATCCAACTGCTTCATTTCTCCACCGAAATCTTTAAACTCAACTAAATATTTAAGCAAATAATACATACATATTCTTTCAAATTAAGGTGAAAATGGAGCAGCGCACCGAGCTTTTTCTTGTCACATTTCTTTTCTTGTTCGTCAATCAATCAGCAATATTATCCAACGCTGTTGAGAGCAAAATTACATATATCAATGTCATGTCTTTGGAGCGAAACCAGACGGAAAAACCGATTCGACGGCAGCTTTAACGAGCGCATGGGCTGCCGCTTGTAACTCTTCCAAACCGGCCTCCATTTATGTGCCAAAGGGAAGGTTTTTGGTGAACCAACAGGCTGAACTTTCCGGACCATGCAGGAACAAAGTTATAACCATGAGGATTGATGGCTCTATTACTGCTCCTTCTGATTATAATGTTCTAGGGAGTACTATGTCTTGGATTGAATTCAAGAGTGTCGATGGACTTTCGATTCGTGGCGGCTTTCTTGATGGCAAGGGGACTGGTCTCTGGGCTTGCAAAGCTGCCTCCGGCAAGAGTTGTCCGACCGGCGTTTCGGTAAGTAATTAGTTCTCCTCCTCATTCTTAGAGATTCATGTTTTTCCTTGTGACATTTAGGTTGATTCTGCCACTTTACACCACCACGAGTGGAGCCACTAAAACAAAATTATTAACGGTTACACTAGAAATGTTAGTTTCTTTTTAAGCTTTTGGAGTTTTGCACATGTTAATTAAGAGCATAACTCATGAAGTTAGTGGGGGGAAATGGGTGGTTCCTTTTTTCTGGCTTTTCAGTTACCTTTTCACCTCTCCAAGTTTACTTTTAGTTATGTGTAATCGTAAAGGGCAGTAAATTAGGGCTTTTGCTACTCCATACAGAAATGTAAAAAAAAATAATAATTATTTCATCAGATGTTCAGTTAGGTGGTCAAAATTTCGAATGAATGATTAATATTTTTATCATTAAAATTGTATGGCTCAAATGACTAATCAAAGTAAATGGTTATGTGCAGACATTGGGGTTTACCAACTCAAACAACATTAAAATATATGGGCTAACTTCTCTTAATAGCCAACTATTTCACATCGTCTTCAATGGATGCACCAACGTGAAGGTGCAAGGAGTGAAAGTCACGGCCGCCGGAAACAGCCCCAACACGGACGGTATTCATGTCCAATTCTCGACCGGAGTTAAGATCTTGAACTCTAAAATCAGTACGGGAGATGATTGCATTTCCATTGGCCCTGGAAGCGATTGAAGACGTCATTTGTGGTCCTGGCCATGGCATCAGGTAATTAATAATAAAGCAATTGTATGAACTCAGGATGTATACATTTACAGCTTGTCCAATATTTATAATCTCCTGAATGCCTTATTGTTCATTTAAACCGTGCAGCATTGGGAGTCTCGGAAGAGATTTCGAAGAAGAAGGTGTACAAAATGTGACAGTTAAAAAGGTCACATTCATAAACACGCAAAATGGTGTGAGGATTAAATCATTCGGAAGACCAAGTAAAGGATTTGTGAATCATGTTGTGTTCCAACATGCCACAATGATCAATGTCCAAAACCCTATTGTCATTGACCAAAATTACTGCCCGGATCACATCAACTGCCATGGAGAGGTAAAAATTAATCATTTTTAACTAATTTATACTTTAGAAGCCCCAAAATTACTCTCCAAAATTAGATTTTCACTTTTACTTCACATTGTACTAAAAATAAAAATGCAAACTGAATTGTAATTTTGGATCAGACGGAGTATTTCGTTTGACTAATGACATATATTTTCTTTCTGGTAATGTCAAGAATGCTACCAGAAATAAGAGTGATGATATCTTTTGTTCTTATACCAAATATATCTAATTGTACAGGTTTCGGGAGTACAAATAAATGACGTTCTGTATCAAGATATTCATGGAACATCAGCTACAGGAGTGGCAGTTAAATTTGATTGCAGCAAGAAGAATCCATGTAAAGGAATAATACTAGAGGACGTGAAACTGAACTACAAAAATCAACAAGCGAAATCACAGTGTGCCAATGCTGGTGGAAATTCCCTTGGTTTGATTGAGCCCTCAAGTTGTTTATAGTCAAGACCTCTAAGGAACACAAGGTTATATATGCGCAAATAGAATTTAATTATCACCTAATTCTGATTAATTAGGACCTTGCTTACGATAGAGGCGTCGGTTTAGTAATTAATTTGGCCGCCTGACTGAGCATATTTGCAATATGGGCTACAAGCCTTTAACCGATTCTTTTTAGTGAGATTTTCTATCAATTGTTTTAGTCCCTAAATAGTTTTTCCTATTTACCTTAAAATAGGCATGCCCACGGTTCTGGAACTGTCAATGGCGGTTCTAGAACCGGCAGTTTTGGTTTGATAAAAATAAGAACCGAAACGCCCCTTTATACTACGGTTCTGGTTATGGTTTGAGAATAGTCGGTTCCAATTTTGTTCCGGTTCTGTGATGGTTCTGGTTTTGATTCTATGTTGTAGCGGTTTTGGTCTCAATATTTTTTATTGGATCTTTTGTTTTTTGTTAAATGAATATTTTACTTTTTCTTTTCTTGAAAAGTAAGATGAAACGTGGAGTAAATTTTTTTTTAATATTTGAAAAAGTAGGACAATACTTGGCATGTCTACCACAAATTTAACTACAATATAAAAATAATAATAATATATGGTGCATAAAAGTTACTAAAATCAACAAATCATCCTTACAAATATTATTTATCAAAAACAAAAAAAGATAGTTTGTGTCATATTTGAAAAAATAACTATGCAATAGTTTAACCGGTAATTGAACCACCGCTATACTTTTTTTTTTATTTTTTAAACAACGATAAAATAATTATGTTGGCAGATTTTATAATATTTTTAAGTTATAAAAAAATATCAATATAGCCGGCTATTGAATTGTTGATTTTTACGGTTTAGAACCGCCGGTCTACTATTTAAAAAATACTAGAACCTTAAACGAACCACAAATACAAGGTTCGATTATGGTTTTAAAACCTTTAAAGGCAGTTTAAGAACAAGAATCTTATTTTCGGTTCGATTCCAGTTCGAACTAGAACCTTTGGCATGCCTACCTTAAAACACAAAGGGTATGTTTGATAACACCACTTATTACAAAAAAATTATTTCATTAAATGCTTTTTGATTCCAGTATATTTGATAACAAAGTCTAAGGGTCTGTTTATAAAAATTAGTGCTTTATTCATAATGGTTAATACGGAATTACAAATACTGAATTCATTAAGCAGTTACAGAATGATCAATCATGTGGTGGAATTCTTAGATCATGACATTATATTAAAAATAGCTATGAAGATCGAATTTCGTTTTTTGTAATGACAAAAAAAAAAAAGAGTAATATGCTCAAAAGGTCCCTTACATTTGTCCAAAAAATTAATTTGGTCCTTTACATTAAAAATTCACTCATATGGTCCTTTACATTTTTCATTTCAACTAATTTGGTCCTTTTTACCTTTTTTGGCCCTCTACATTTGTGAGTTCTCGGGCTGATCATTCTGGTCAAGTCAACGGGGTATTTTCGGTAACTCATAATTATCATATTTTGAAAATATATTAAAAACCAAAAATGTATTAAAATAATAATAAACATATTAAATTAATTTATAATTTATTATTTAAAATTCAAAATTCAAAATTCAAAATTCAAATATAATACTATTAAAAAATTTAAAATCCAAAATCTGAATTTTTTAGTTTTTACCCGTGGGCCCCATTCAAAATTTTTTACCAGATTTGACTTCAAATCTTGTGGGGCCCACACCAATTTTTTTCTTTACCTTTTATTCAGCATTTTTTTTTCTTCTCTTCCCGCTGAGACACTTCCCCATTCCCCTTGGTCATCGTAGAAAAACCATGAACCCTAATTCTCAAATTGGGTGGCACAGTCGGCATAATCGAAGCAACAGTCTACAGGAGTTCAATCTCCATTTAGACATCATACCCCCTACATGTAGATGCGGCCTTCCATGTGCGGTTATGACGTCGTGGACTGACGATAACCCGGCAAGAAGATTTGCCCGTTGCGCGAACTGGACCGATGAGAGTCCTTCAACCAGATTCGGTCACAGGTGGAAAACTAAGGTATGTTGATTTGGCATTGGTTATTTTGTATTTAGTTTTTATTTAATTTATTTTTTATGGTGAATTGTTGAACCGTCAGGCCAAGTATTGTCCGTTTTGGGTCTGGGTTGATCTGGAGACATGTAAAAGAAGAAAAGACATTATACCAGGACTTCTGCGGAGACTTGATCGACAGGATGAAGAATTGAGTTTTTTGGACAAAAAACTATCGGATGTAGAAGAGCAATTAACTAATGAGATGGCACAAACGTTCAGGTACATGTGTAGGGTTGCTTAATTGGAGAGCGAGAACAAGGTATTACAGCTTGAATTGGTTAAGCTGCAAGCAAATAAGAAGAAGCTGAGGATGATTTATGCTGTTGTCGTGGTGTGGATATTGTGGAAAGTGGTGTGTTGTTTTGCTGTCAAGGAGAAGAACGAATTAAGCCACAGCTATATGGCAATTGGTAGGAGTTAGAGAGATGACTAGAGTGTTTAGTTAATGTTTTAGCATCTTTGTGTTTGGTTAATGCTTTAGTTTCTCTGTAAAACGTAGCTTACGTGGTGTTGTTTAATGCTTTAGTGTTGTTGTAAGACTTAGCTAATGTGTTGTAATATATGTATCCCCTTTTGATGTGTTCTTCATTGTTTTTTTTTTTAGAATTGAGATCAATCTTATGGCAGCCTGAATGTAATGGTAAAGGTTACAGTCAAATGTAAAGGACCAAAAAATTATACAGAAAATGTAAAGGGCCTAAAAAGTTGCACCGAAATGTAAAGTAGTAACTAATGCCGTGAAGGGAAATAGAGTAAACCAGGAGTAATTACACGGAAAAAAATGAAGTGAATGCTAAAACTTGCAACTCACATGGCATCACTGGTACCATAGAGAAAATTGGTCTTACAAATTTCACAATCTAATTCATCACAAGAACAAACATCATCCTCTTCATCATCAACTAATTCGACGTTTGGATCAAGCCTAGAGTGCTCAGCTAGCCAACAATCATCACAATAGCAACTGAGATCTACGTCACCATTGATGTCATCATCATTAATCATAGAATTATTGTTCCGAGCAAACCAGTATTCATCCGCTTTATTCAAGGCATAAAGGACGATTAATCTAGAGTCATCAGCTAGAGCATCAGAGCGGAGAATGGAAACTCCCCTATCACCGACAATCGCCTCAACGCCATTCTATTCACTTATAGAGTAGAAAGTGACAAATCTGGCAATCCCAATCTGCTTGGCCATCTCATCTAAATCTGCATTTGAAACAGTTTCAAAGTCCACATGATCGAAAATTCTGAAATCACCTCCATCATAAAATGGGAATGGCTTTTCCCAAAGACGGCCACTATAGTGAATTTTAATGCTCCCAAAACTGCTACTGCTAACTGAACAAAAAAAAGGGTCAGATGAGAACATTTGAAGTCCATATTGTGGAGCAACAAAAATTTTAAGTTAAAAAGAAGAAAGAAAAAGGGAACTGACAATATACAAGATCAAAGTCATCGTTGAGCTCTTTTGGACGTGGAGTGTACATCCCATCGATGGACTTCACCATTTTTCAACAACAATCTCTGGTGGATTCAGTCACCATGTATGTCTTTTTATATTCCCTCCAGAGGTTACAAGTGTTTTATTTTTCCTCCAATTCTATTGGAGATATATGGTTGTGTTTTACTTTCTCTCCAATTCTATTAGAAGATAGATGGTTGTGTTTTACTTTCCTTCCAATTCTATTAGAAGATAGATGGTTGTGTTTTATTTTCCCTCCAATTCTATTAGAGATAAATGGTTTGAGTTTTACTTTTCCCTCCAATACTTTTGGTATAAGTTTTAGTTTCCCTCCATTTGGCAGCATATGTAAATGATTAAAATAGTTAACAGAAAAGTAAAGGGCCAAGAATTAATGCAAGCATAAGTACGCCATTCAACATGCAAAACCATACCAGATTAGTCTAAGGCCTGTTACAAAAGTGAATGTGCCATACGATTGACATACGCCAAAATTACGCCATTCAACATGCAAAACCATACTAGATTAGTCTAAGGCCTATTACAAAAGTGAATGTGCCATATGATTGATATACGCCATAGGAGTCTAGATCTAACATAACATCTAAACCCTAACAGCCAGTCGCAAAAGTTCCTAACAACACAACTACAACCAAACAGCCTATCCGTCGGTTGCACCTTCAGTTGCATCAGTGTACATTCCAACGATAGAGCTTGTACAAGTTGAACAATAATGACCAGTTCTCTTACCGGCTCCACACGTAACAAGTCTCTTCGGCTGCTTGAATAATAACAACAACCACGAGATCAACATAACCTACACACTTACAGGCGAGACTACGAAGTTTAATAAGAACAGCAAATGGAACATGGGAACATTACCATTTTAGCTAGTTCTGGGTTGCTGCATGATGCATCTGCCACACCTTTTCTCTTTGCCTGCTTGAAACATAACAACAACAACAAGGTCAATATCATAGACACTGCACAGGTCAGACCACAAAGTTGAACAAAATAAGGTAATGGCACAGGAAAACATCACCTTTTTAGCAGGTTCTGGGTTGATTGATGAGGAACCTTTCATTGTCTTCTTTGGTTGTGAAGCAAGCTCAGTAGATGTACTTGCCTTATTAGGACAAGATCTGCTGGTATGGTTACCTCCTTTGCACAATCTGCAATTGTAGGTCATTGTGCCTGTCCTAGATAACCTCTGAACCCCTTTTTTTTATCTTTCCTAATCAGCGATTTCTTTAGCTCTTCCTCAATCTTTTTCCTTGCCTTCGAAGGCCTTCCAGGAAGATTGACTTTTTCAGGGAGAACCACATCTGGATTTGATGTTTTCCCCCACAGTTCAGGTCCATTGGTGGGATAAATGACATACTTGTATGCATTTTCATAATTTTCCTTGGAGTAATACTCATGCACAAAATCATCAACTTCCTCACCTATCAAGGCAATTGATGCGACAGCATGGGGGCAAGGCAGGCCAGTCAACATCCAACACCTGCATTTACATGTCATGTCCTTTAAATTAACGACATATTGTTTATTCCATTTTGTGTTAACCTGAAAAGACAAATCTCCAGAGTGTCTAGCTCAGCTATGTCGTGCTTCTTCCTTAAGTTTTTCAAGTTTCTTCCTCACCTTTGGGCCGAAACGATCATTAAGATGCAATATCATTTCTCTTTTCTTCTGGTGTCTATCTGAAAGTAACATCCTTCACACATTCAAGCAAGCTGTAAAAAGGTTAGGATCTCGCCGGAAGCAAAACTCTGTTAAAACTCTCACAAATATTGTTAACCAAAATGTCACACTTTGCCAAGAAGTTAAAGAATGCCCTACTCTAGTTTCGTGCATCTGTGTGACCTGCCAGCCATGCAACAACCTAAAGCTCTAGGAGTCTCAATTCTTTGATAATTGCTTTGTACCTTGCAGGATATGTTGCCCTAGCTGCCTCCCATATTTTATCTTTCAGAATAGGGCTTGGGAAAGTTGTTTTGAAGTTGTTGTGCATATGCCAAACACAAGTCCTGTGTTCAGCATACCTAACACAAGTGTGTAAGGCATTAATCAGCCCCTGCATTAATGTAAAGGACTAGACAGTTCATACCAGAAAGTAAAGGACTAAAAAAGTACACATAAGGAAAAGTATGCCTATAAAAGTTCACTGGCTAGAAATTCATACCTTCTGCTTGTCTGTTATAAAGGTCCACTGGCTAGAATCCTTGATGTTCAGGTCAATCTGAACGTTTCTTACAAACCAAGTCCATGTAGTAGTGTTTCCGCTCAAGACGACAGCAAAAGCAATTGGGTATATTTGGTCATTTGGATCAAGTCCAATTGCTGTGAGCAAAATACCCTTCACAGGCCCCTTTAGGTGGCATCCATCAAGCCCAACAATACATCGACATGATTCCCGGAAACCCCTCTTGCAAGCTTCACAGCAAATGTATATCCCATTAAACTTTTCAGTGCCATCTTCTTGCTCCACTGTGTCAAGATCCACAGTTGACCCTGGGTTGGTTCTCAAAAATTTCTGCCTTATAATCATGTATTCTCTTGTACTGATCCATGATATCACCTTCAATCAATTCAATGGCCCGCAGCTTTGTTTTCTCAACCAGACATTGTGACGGAGTGAATTGTAATACACTGTGAATCTTTTCTTGGAGCTGGGCAATTGTCATTGTGGGAGTAATACGAATGTCCTCCTTGAACAGTTTTGCTAGGTACTTGGATGAAGCACAATTGTGGTTACTGGTTGCACCACCACATCTGTGCTTCTTTATCAACTTTGTCACCTACCATTCCTGACACTTTGGTCTCCAAGTGATTCTGACAGTCCACAGACAATTGCCACTGCCACCTTTACAAATTGCTTTGCACCTTTCATGATCATTTTTCTTGAAACGTATCTTCTTCCCATCTTTGACTCCATGATGCTTGGCCATTTCTTGGAACTCTTGTTTTGAACAAAACGCAACCCGATTTCCCATTTTGGTTTGTTATAATTTGTTGCTGCATTGTACCTTCTGAACTTTGGTATTGCAGCCCGAACACCACCATATGTTTCAAATCTTGCATCATCAATTCCAAACTCCTCACTCCCATATCCATCGTTAGATTCTTCTCCACCACCATCACTTTCTCCTTCATTGGGCTGTCCATGAATTTTTCCTCCAAATTTCCCAATATCTTGGACCATTCTTGCATTCTATCCTTCATAATCTCTTCCATTACATCATCATCAAGCTCATAGTCACTATCAGGTGTTTCTTTACTTCCATTTGGCTCCACTTCTTCCGTTTCCTCAACACCTCCCGGCTTGCCATCTCCATCTCTACTGTCAACTTTTCTCTTTCCCTTTGCTTTTTCCCTTATGTATTCTTCATCTTGATTGACACCATTGGCTTTAGTCTTCTCCTTTGCTTTGCATCGTCTGTATGATTTGTCAGTCCCATGTTCAATACCACAACATTTCATATTCTTTATTTTTCTCTTCAAATTTTGTTTTTCCACCATCTTATCACACAGGTCATCTTTTCTTTTGCCTTTCATACTTCCAGATCTGTTCACTTTGTCATAAGTCTGTGACCATCCTTGTCACAACGTTGTGCATCATCACCAACAGTGGCTTTGCCTTCATCAACTTCAACATGTTTTGCCCTAGCACCTGATTTCTCACAAGGATGTGCTTGATCACCATTGTCGGCATTTACTTCCGCACCTTCACCATCAGTTGGTTCATCCAAATCACTGCAACCAATTATATGATCTACACCACATCTTGGAATTTTTTTCGAAATTTCTATCTCTGGAGGTTCATCACTATCATCTACATCAACCAACGAAATAATATTACTTTTCACCTTTTCTTTCGCCTTTGATTGTGGACTTATAGCTCCTCTCTTCAACATTTTTCCCTATCTAGAATCACAAGATCTTTTATTTTCGAAAAGTTAACATCTGCCACCTTCATCCTTGCAGGTATCCTAGGTGAGAGACTATTCTTATGAGTAGATTCCATCTTCTGAGTTGTTATTGATATTTGTTCTTGTGTAAGCTGACTGATAGGAATTTCAAGGTCAGCATCCTCACCTGCATCACTATGGACAACAAACAAATCCACCAAAGTTTCTTTCAAACCAAGTGCCGCCATTTTATTCGCAGAATCGTTACAAAACAAAAGAAACAACCCATCATCTATGCCCTTGCCAGGTTGTAGGCAGCAGTAACTTAATTTCGCAGCAACAAGACCCAACTTCATCACAGCAAAATCGTCCACTTCTATTTTGGACCAGTAGTCTGGATCACATTTGTAAATGGTAGCCACTTCTCCACCTTTGTACTGCCGCCTTGCTGGATTCGTGAGAAACCCATTAAAGTGAGTCCTCACTGTAAATAGACCATCTGCAGAAACCGATGAATTCGTAAGAAACAATTCTATCATTAACAAATTGCCCAGTAACCCTAATTATCAAACTATTTTAGTCCTTTACAAATAGTACTACTAACCCTAATTTTAATACTATTTTGGTCGTTTACAAATACAACCAGCAACCCTAATTTTTAAACTATTTTAGTCCTTTACAATTAGTCACCATAACCCTAATTTAGTAACTTTTTAGTCCTTTACAAATAGTGACTGTAACCCTAATTTAGTTGACTATTTTAGTCCTTGGCATTTGTATTACAACAGAAATACTATACACACACCATTGACGCACATGACCAGTACTATAATTGCCACACGTGCTCGTAGATTCAACACAATCAACCCTTTTTTCAGACAATGGAGCCAGATTCAGTCATACCCATTTTAAAAATCACTGGTTTCGACCGACAACGACTAAAAAGGACAAAAAGATAGAACCTTTTTCCCTTGAAAACCAGTAAACAATAGTCCCCCACATGACTCGAACAACATAAAGACCACCAAATAATTTATCTCCCCCACAAATTGCAAATCTACAGAAAAAGTTATTATTAAACAATATCTCAACAGTACGATTCTTCTCAGGCTTGATGCTTGCAATATTTTTCTTCGTTCGCAATAGTCGGAGCACAGCAGATTCCGTCGATTCACCCGCAGCAGATTCCGTTGATTTGCCCATCGATTTCACCGCAACAGAATTTTTCGAAGCAGATCCTTCAAAGCTTTAGCGCATGTTTTATTTCTTTTGGTTGGATTGCGACGACTCCGGCGGAGACGACGATGGCGGAGATGACGATGGTGTGCAGGAGTTTCACCGTTTTTGAAATGGGAATTTTGACCGAAGAGAGAAGAAAAAAAATACTACTGAATAAAGATTCAAGGGTAAAGGAAAAAATTGGTGTGGGCCCCACAAGATAAAAAGTCAAATTGGGTAAAAAATTTTGAATGAGCCCACGGGTAAAAACTAAAAATTCAGATTTTGGATTTTTAAATTTTTCAATTTTTTAATATTATTATATTTGAATTTTGAATTTTAAATAATAAATTATAAATTAATATAATATATTTATTATTATTTTAATATATGTTTGATTTTTAATATATTTTAAAAATATGATAATTATGAGTTACCGAAAATGCCCCTGTGGATTTGACCAGGAATTGGTCAGGCCGGGAACTCACAAATGTAAAGGGCCAAAAAAGGTAAAAAGGATCAAATTAGTTGAAATGAAAAATGTAAAGGACCATATGAGTGATTTTTTAATATAAAGGACCAAATTAATTTTTTGGGCAAATGTAAGGGACCTTTTGAGCAGATTACTCAAAAAAAAAAAACCGAGTTATTTCGAGGACAAATCACAAGGATTTTTTAGTTTGGAAAGTAAAAGCTAATTTGGGAGAAGAAGCTATTCATTATTGTACACAATCATTCAAACCGGAGGGTTTTTGACCATCGGAATCAAATAGAGATCATCTTTCCTGGTCAATGCGAGCCCAAAAGCTTCAGTCATATCCATGTCTTCGGGTTTCATTCCATTGGGTAACTTCCAGTCAACATGATAAAGAAATTTCGCGAGTAAGTGCTCAACATTTACCAGACCAAGTAGAATTCCAGGACACATTCTTCTCCCAGCTCCAAATGGGATATATTCAAAATGTTTTCCCTTATAATTTATCGGGCTACCAAGAAATCTCTCCGGGTAAAATGTTTCAGCATCTTCCCAGTATGAGGGATGCCTATTGATGGCAAATGCATTGACGAGGAGTTTTGTTTTTGCTGGAATTTCATATCCATTGATTATGCATTTCTCATTGCTTATCCTAGGAAGCAATAGAGGTCCTGGTGGATGTAACCTTAATGTCTCCTTTATGACTAATTTCAAGTACTTGAGTTGATCAAAACAGGTTTCATCTACCCGCCCTTTATTCTTGAAAACTTCTCTTACTTCATTACGCGCCTTCTCCATGATTCTTGGATTCCTTACCAGTTCTGTCATTGCCCAGTTTAAAGTCTTGGCTGATGTACCACCTCCAGCTATAAAAGCATCCTGAAGTTATTTCAGTTACTCAGCAATGATTTGATCAGCTTTGATTAGAGAGGTCCAAAGTTGCAACGTCTCAGTCATTACTACTTAGGGATTACCGTCGTGGGAAAAAATTAATGTATTGCCTATATTTCAAAATTATTATCCTGTTATATTTTCACTTTAGTACAATTTGAACTATGATGAAAATCCAAATTAGAGACACTCTTTTCGGGACCAAAGGAGTATAAATTATAACACAAATCTTGCATAGATTCAATAAATGTTGATAAAGTAACTATGGTCCAAGTACTTACCAGAAGAACCGCTTTGATGTTGTCGTTAGTCATGGAAAATTCAGCGTTCTCGTCCTCATGATACTGCAACAAAACATCCACGAAATCTTTGTGGGCTTGATCAGGATTTTCAGTCTTGGCAAAGAGGCCTGAAACCTTGTGCTCGTTTAAGATGGCTTGAAGTATGCTGTCTGTTACCTTAAGATGTTTCATCAGCTTAGACTTCATCCCACTGATCACATGAAGGAACTTGATAGAAGGGTACGCATCACCAATATTGAATCCTGATGCCAATTTCACAAATTCGACGACGGTGTGTATGAATGTCTCTAGTTTGGGGCTTTTGTTGCCAAAAGCTGCCCTGGAAGCGGATGCATAAATGGATGAATTAATCTTCTCAGTAAGATTAATCACCGATCCTTCATTACTAGCGATCCATCTTATCAAATTTGAAGTTTCTTCCTCTCGTAAATGTCGAAATGACTGTACCCGACTCTGACTTAAAAGCTCCGATGCACACATTTTGCGCAATCGTCTCCAGTAGTCCCCGTAGGGAGCAAAAGTTATACTGGATGTATTGTAAGCCATTATCTCCGTTGCCATTATCGGAGGCCTCGTCGCGAAGTTGATGTCATGAGTTTGCATCACTTGTTTTGCCATCTCCGGTGAGGAGACGAGAACTGTGGAAACTTCGCCTAATTGAATGTGCATAATTGGTCCGTATTTTCTCGCCATGTCGGTTAGGACACGGTGAGGTACACGGCCAACAAGTTGATGCAAGTTTCCAATTAGAGGTAGTTTCCGTGGTCCTGGTAAAAGTTTAGGTGTTTGAGATTTCCTTTTTCTGAAGTTTGATCCTAATGTTAGGAGCATAATAAAGAAGAAGATGGTTAGAAAGAGAAGTAAGGAATCAAGATCCATATTTCTGAGTCAGAAAGGTTGTGAATGTATTGGTGTACTACTTGATCATATTTATAGGCTAATTACTGCAGAATTCTATCTTTGATTTATGGTTAGCATAAGGACTGAAATGAAAAGTAAACGCTCTATCATGTTCAATGTACTGGAATGACAACTGGATGTGTGTTAATGGTAATTAATTGACCAGCACGCCCTAAGTTGAGATGGCAAATAATACCAAACTCCTAGGTAGCAGTGTGTGTATCACAAACTTTGGCAAAAAAAAGTGACCATTTTAGTCCGGATTTTTAATCATCACACGCATATTTAATCCCCCAATTTTATCCCTTTTTATTGGCATTTTATCCCCCTAATTTTATCCTTTTTTTGGCATTTAACCCCTTGATTTTATCCCTTGTTTTTGGCACACGTTTAAATTTAAACTTTTTTTTTTGCTTATCATGTTAGTTTTATATTATTTTATTTTATGAGATAATTTGTTTTATAACTATGAATTTTATTTTGGTAAAATTGACTATAATTAATCATTGAGACTTACGAATATGAAGAATCAATGTGTATTTTCTCGGTAATGAATAACTAACATTCAGACAATGAATGATGTTATGGAATTATTGAAAGATGAATGATGTAGAATGTATTCGTTTTATTGGTGAATATACATGCGTAAGGTAATGCGTAATCTATGGTTACTGATGAACATGAATTTCATTGTTATTTTTTGGCAGATAGTGTATCATCTTGTTAAGATTTTACGATGAGTATCCTATTTTAAGTAATGAATAACAAGTTGTTATTGATGAATAACAGATGATGTGCTTATTGGACGATGTTTCAACTCTGAGGAAGAGACTTTTGCTGCTTATAATATTAACATTATGGACGTGATGAATAATGATGTTCTTATAGTGACAACGTTATGGACGAATAAATTTAAATTTTGTAATGAATAACGATATTCACAAAGATGAATAACGATGCAAAACTGATCAATAATGATCTCATTCTAGATGAATAACAATATTATAATGAAGAATAGTAAGTTTTACAAGATGATAATTGTACTTTAATGAATGAATAATATACGTTACTGGATAAATAACTTTGATAACAAAAGTATATATTACTATGGGTTAATATTAGTAACTGAACTAACAAAATTCTAATTATGTATTATACTAGACGAAAAATGAACAAAAAAAATTAGTCATTGTTTTTAATATATAAGGTCTTGAAGGATTTGTCGATGTTCAATACACGTTTATGTTGATTGTTTGATTTCAACAGCTATGGAAAAATATTTAATTCCCGATCGATCGACTTCATCTTGATGAGCATTTCTTTGTTGTTGATCAAACAAAAAGAACATTATAATAAGTGAAATTTCACATTAAATCAAAACTTTGTTAATTATCAATAACAATAATTGAAGATGAATAATCATTATTGGATGATTTTTTAATTGTATTTATTATATCAATGTATCAGATGTATCACAAAATTAATGAACAACTTTTTTGTGAATTAATGAATAACTGTACATAGATGATGAATACACATTTTGACAATGACAAGATACCATGTACTTTTCTCGGATTATAAAATTGGAAAATTAATAATCATTGCCGATCCAATAAATATCATCCCTTCACGGATGAATAGCACAACAACACAATATAATGAATACCAAATACTAATCTGATAAAGAAAATTAACGGATGCATAATACATAGTTACGGTAAATGATAAATCTGACAACTTCAATCATGAATAAGTATACATATATGATGCATAGTAAATAGCTGGTTTTATGTTTTATTCCTTGCTGACCCAATGAATAACATCCATTTGTGGATGAATATCGAAAAAAAAAACACAATATGATGAATACCAAACACCAAACTGATAAAAAAAATTAACTGATGGATAATACATATTTATTATCCAGACTGATGAATAATATCGAGATCTACTAATTTACCAAAAGAAAACAACATCTAATCGACGAACAAATATCTAAAATTGATAAACAAACATCGTGATTAGAGTGAACATAACTTAGATTTACATAACCCACACAAAAAAAAAAAAACACCAATTGTTGTAGAGAATAGTTGTATTACCTCGCTTCCCCTTCATCATCCGATTTGAAAATACTCGGTTCAGAATCATCAGCCATAGGCCTCTGAATGTATATTTTAAAGAAAAAACATCTTTCATCAAACTTTATACATTTGATTAACACAGAAAAACCGATATATTTGACCAGAATTTACCTTAATCCTCATCTTCAGTATAAAAACTTGAAACCAAGATTCACCAGTTTTGATGAACGTTCTGATTCAGTCTTCGGAAGTTCCACCGACGGTAGCTTCTGTGGATGTACCGCCGGTTGTGATTTTTTGTGTTTTTGGGATTTTTTGTATTGAGACGGAATG